TGTCCTGGGTAGAGCTTTCTTCCTCCAAAAGGAGGGGCTCTGTGTCCTATGTGGCCATTACTCTAACCCAATGAATGGTTTGTCCTAGGTAGAGCCTTCTTCCCCCCACCTGGGGGTGCTCTGTGTCCTATGTAGCCATTACTGTAACCCAGTGAATGGTGTGTCCTGGGTAGAGCTTTCTTACCCCACCAGGGGGCACTCTGTGTCCTATGTGGCCATTACTGTATAACCCAATGAACGATGTGTCCTGGGTAGAGCTTTCTTCCCCCACCAGGGGGCGCTCTGTGTCCAATGTGGCCATTACTGTAACCCAATGAATGGTGTGTCCTGGGTGGAGCTTTCTTCACCCAACAGTGGGCGCTCTGTGTCCAATGTGGCCATTACTGTAACCGAATGAATGGTGTGTCCTGGGTAGAGCTTTCTTTCCCCACCAGTGGGCGCTCTCTATCCTATGTGTCCATTACTGTATAACCCAATGAATGGTGTGTCCTGGGTAGAGCTTCCAATTCAGTGTCTATCCTATGTGTCCATTACTGTATAACCCAATGAATGGTGTGTCCTGGGTAGAGCTTTCTTCCCCCACCAGTGGGCGCTGTCTGTCCTATGTGTCCATTACTATATAACCCAATGAATGGTGTGTCCTGGGTAGAGCTTTCTTCCCCCTATCATATGTGTCCATTACTGTATCATATGTGTCCATTACTGTATAACCCAATGAATGGTGTGTCCTGGGTAGAGCTTTCTTCCCCCGACAGTGGGCGCTCTCTATCCTATGTGTCCATTACCAAGGAACTCAAATGAAATGTGTCCTATTCTTCCAACAGGGGCCAAACCACACAACCCAATGAATGGTGTGTCCTGGGTAGAGCTTTCTTCCCCCACCAGTGGGCGCTCTCTATCCTATGTGTCCATTACTGTATAACCCAATGAATGGTGTGTCCTGGGTAGAGCTTTCTTCCCCCACCAGGGGGCGCTCTGTGTCCCATGTGTCCATTACTGTATAACCCAATGAATGGTGTGTCCTGGGTAGAGCTTTCTTCCCCCACCAGTGGGCGCTCTCTATCCTATGTGTCCATTACTGTATAACCCAATGAATGGTGTGTCCTGGGTAGAGCTTTCTTCCCCCACCAGGGGGCGCTCTGTGTCCTATGTGTCCATTACTGTATAACCCAATGAATGGTGTGTCCTGGGTGTGAAGCTGAGATGAAGGCAGTGTATTCATTCTGCGACGTAGATATTAAAATAGGATCCTGTTTATTTACTTTTTCACAGTATTTTTTTAATATCACCGGATAAACTATAATTTTACACCGTACGACGCCCTTGGTCACTGTGTTTTATGTGCTGTCCAGAGGCGACAGTAAGAGATTCCCAGCATTTTAATATAGAGCACAGGACAGCAGTCAGATTAACTGCAATTCCCATTATCCTCCATTGGAAGTTTATGGGAAATATAACAAATTCTACCAGGGAGCTTCAGATATCCAGCAGCTAAATGACATCTATTCTAATAATCCTTCAGTGAATACAGATATAGGATGATGGGAGTTTGAGTTCCGTAATAGCTGGCTAATATGCAGCCCTGTTGTTCGATTTATACCATGATGTCCGTGATGCCTTATCAGTAAGGATCTAGTAAAGGATAATAGGAGTTGTAGTCTATATACAGCCAAGCAGTTGCAGGTTGTGTCTCAAGGGAAAACAGGCGGGATGGCAATTAGAAGAGACCAAAATCAGGGCTGTCTATCTAAACCTGAAACTGTTGGAAAGTATGTTTTATTTTAGCCTGCTCCCTTGGGGTCTCTCGGACAGACAGGCAGGATTTTTTCAGATTCTGTTACCCCCCACAGAGTTAGAGCATGCCCACCTGTATTAGAGCTTATTGGGAAGCTGTGACAGTGTGTGCATGCGCGCTCACAGTTCCAGCAGAGAGGCTCCACTGAGATTATTTAACTAACAAAATTTGTAGCTGCTGTGCTCATCCCACATTATATCCAATGCACTTTGAAATATGGCTTTTAATAAGATCCTGTGAAACAAAGCTACCTTACATTGATGTATAGATTAACTCTTAATGGTTCCTCGTGCTCAATAAATCGGCAGAGTAGTCAGGGTTAGATGGGCACTCCACTGCCCAAATTCAAACAAAAAAACAATTGCTGTTTAATAGATATACCCTAATGAAAACATAATTGTATTTAAATAAATATGCTCTTTTTTCATCGGGGGTATATATAAAAATACGTTTGGCAGAAGCTGTACAACTCCTATCTGCAGCCTTTGAAAGCCATCCCCTTCTAACCCCGCCCAGACTTTCGGTGTCTGTCCAATCACAGACTTCCTATTGCAACTCAATGAGAAGTCTTTGCAAGGCAGGAGCTCTGGGCAATTGTTGCCTCTTGGGTTTAGCTTCACTGAGCTAAGCAAACCAGGAAGAAACAGAACCAGTTATCTGATTGACAGCCAGGGGGATATAACAGCAGGTTAATTTATAAAAGTGTTAATTTATATTAAAATCTGCACCTTTTGTGAAATGAGTATCTCAGTAAGATGAACTGCTTTAGAGGTCTGGAATGTCCCTTTGAAGGTAATATTCAACATTATACTGATGGGACCAGGATAAATAAGTGTAATTGAATTTGGGGATTTTTACACAATCAGCAATGAGAGATTTTAGGGGAGCAGAAAATGGATAACGTAAATTAATCCTGTATGAAAGGCCAGAGCCATGTATAATTTATAACTTGATTGCGTTCTACGAAGAAGTAAGTAGAAGTATAGATCAGGGTGTTGCAGTGGATGTGATCTACTTGGATTTTGCCAAGGCATTTGATACAGTTCCACACAATAGATTAGTTTTTAAACTCAAAGAAATCGGTCTGGATGAACATGCTTGTTCTTGGGTAGAACATTGGCTTAAAAACAGAGTACAAAGAGTTGTCATTAATGGTAAATTTTCAGGCTGGACAGAGGTGGCAAGCGGTGTCCCTCAGGGGTCTGTTCTGGGACCCCTTCTATTTAACATGTTTATAAATGATCTTGAAGACAGCATTGAAAGTCATGTTTCAGTGTTTGCAGATGACACCAACCTTTGTAAAACAATACAATGTGAGCAAGATATTACTTTGCTGTAGAGGGATTTAGATAGACTGGAGGACTGGGCACTCAAATGGCAGATGAAATTTAATGTTGAAAAATGCAAAGTTATGCACTTCGACGTAAAGAATACACAAGCAACGTGTACCCTTAATGGAAGTGAATTAGGGATAACAACATACGAAAAGGACTTGGGAATTGTTATAGACAACAAACTATGCAACAATGTGCAATGTCAATCAGCAGTGGCCAAGGCCAGTAAGGTATTGTCATGCATGAAAAAGGGCTCGGGACAAGAATATAATTTTGCCTCTTTATAAATCACCGGTAAGACCCCATATTGAATATGCTGTGCAATTTTGGGCACCTGTTCTAAAGAAGGATATTATGGCACTAGAAAAAGTGCAGAGGCGGGCTACAAAATTAATAAAAGGAATGGAACATATCGGCTATGAAGAAAGGTTAACAAATTTAAACTTATTTAGTTTAGAAAAACGTCGCCTGAGAGGGGATATGATAACATTATACAAATATATTCGGGGCCAATACAAACCATTGTGTGGAAATCTATTCACAAACCGGACTTTACATAGGACACGAGGCCATGCATTTAGACTGGAAGAAAGAAGATTTCGTCTAAGGCAAAGGAAAGGTTTTTTTACTGTAAGAACAATCAGGATGTGGAATTCTCTGCCTGAAGAAGTGGTTTTATCAGAGTCCATACAGATGTTCAAACAGCTACTAGATGCATACTTGCAAGAACAGAATATTCAAGGATATAATCTTTCAATGTAGGGTAATAACTGCTTGATCCAAGGATAAATCTGACTGCCATTCTGGGGTCAAGAAGGATTTTTTTTCCTAGCTTGTTGCAAAATTGTGCTTCAAACTGGGTTTTTTTGCCTTCTTTTGAATCAACAGCAAAAAACAAATGTGAGGAAGGCTGAACTTGATGGACGCAAGTCTCTTTTCAGCTATGTAACTATGTAATAATAAAGTGACTAACAGCTGAGTATTATCATTGACTTGATATGAATCCTGTAGATTGTGTGTTGTCCTCTAACGTGACATTGAAATAAAAAAGGGATGAAACTTGTAACCAACGTATTGGGAAAAAAAAAAGTGGAGCAGCGTCCTATAAAGACTGCTTTAATCATAATTCCATGTTCCAACAGTATTTCACACCTGTGTTGGCGATTTCCAAGCAGCCCTCCCCGGCCCGTCTTTGGTTGGTTATAACTCTCAATAAATCTTACTTGAACGGTCCTGAGCCCCACATGGAGGAGACGTTACCAAAAATACCTCAGCAGGGGTCAAATAAACATCAAATGCTTGGCTTCCATTTTACATCCATGTTTGTCAGAAATCTGCCCCTCTATAAAATGTTACATTATATCTTCCATTCTCTGCATTCAACTTATTAAATAACCACTAACAACTTCTTTTTATGTTAGACTAGCTGGAGCAATCAACAAGAACATTGGCTTCCATGACAACTGCTCTCCATGTTGCACAGATTTAACTCTTTTTATATACTACTTTTATTATAGCAGCAATTTAATTCTGCAGATACCAACAAAAATCAAACTTTAACCCCTTAAGGACCAAACTTCTGGAATAAAATGGAATCATGACATGTCACACATGTCATGTGTCCTTAAGGGGTTAAGGGAAGCTATTACTTTTGACATTTTTTCATATTATGTTCACTTTTACACTATGTATTCAACAAACATGTATCTGTGAGCTGAGAATGATACAATTAAATGTAAAAACCACATCTCTTTATCTTGCAACTGGGCGCCTCCATCTTAGCTCCCTGTCAATCATTGTTATAAACTCCGCCCTTTACACCTGTCAGTCAGTATATAGAGAGCCGCCTCCATCTTAGCTCCCTGTCAATCATTGTTATAAGCTCCGCCCTGTACACCTGGCAGTCAGTATAGCGAGAGCCGCCTCCATCTTAGCTCCCTGTCAATCATTGTTATAAGCTCCGCCCTTTACACCTGGCAGTCAGTATAGAGAGAGCCACCTCCATCTTAGCTCCCTGTCAATCATTGTTATAAGCTCCGCCCTTTACACCTGGCAGTCAGTATAGAGAGAGCCGCCTCCATCTTAGCTCCCTGTCAATCATTGTTATAAGCTCCGCCCTTTACACCTGGCAGTCAGTATAGAGAGAGCCGCCTCCATCTTAGCTCCCTGTCAATCATTGTTATAAGCTCCGCCCTTTACACCTGGCAGTCAGTATAGAGAGAGCCACCTCCATCTTAGCTCCCTGTCAATCATTGTTATAAGCTCCGCCCTTTACACCTGGCAGTCAGTATAGAGAGAGCCGCCTCCATCTTAGCTCCCTGTCAGTCATTGTTATAAGCTCCGCCCTTTACTCCTGGCTGTCAGTATAGAAAGAGCCACCTCCATCTTAGCTCCCTGTCAATCATTGTTATAAGCTCCGCCCTTTACACCGGGCTGTCAGTATAGAGAGAACCGCGTCTTTAAAATTCACTTTGAATTCTCACTTTAGTAAATAACTCTTAATATTTCTATTTCTTATCCTCATTTGAATTGTGTGCCCTGGCTGTGCCAAATTTAACTGGATTGTGATGTAAATTTACAAATCCTCGTTTTCCTGGCACTATAGTGCCTTGAGGGTGACGCCCGGCTCTGGAAGGGGGAAAGGGATAAAAACTTACCTTTTTCCAGCGCTGGGCGGGGAGCTCTCTGCCTCCGATCCTCCTCCGTTCCTCCCCTCCTCCCCGTCGGCTGAATGCACACGCGCGGCAAGAGCTGCGCGCGCATTCAGCCGGTCGCATAGGAAAGCATTATCAATGCTTTCCTGTGGACGCTTGTGTGCTCTCACTCTGATTTTCACAGTGAGAATCATGCAAGCGCCTCTAGCGGCTGTCAATGAGACATCCGCTAGAGGCTTTGGGGGAAGGCTTAAACTGAAACTGCTATGTTTATAAAACAATGGGTTAACCCTAGAAGGACCTGGCACCCAGACCACTTCATTAAGCTGAAGTGGTCTGGGTGCCTAGAGTGGTCCTTTAATAAAAATGTGTAAGAAAATGGAACAGCTCATGAAAAGAACATTTAACACACGTAATCGGTGATTTTCAATTTTTTATTCGATAAAGTTGAGTGACAGTTCCCTCCTGCTAGAATATGTCTTCTCCTCTGAAATCACAATTCTTCTTTAACAAGTTTAACCCTTTGAGATGACGCAAGGAGAGGAACTTACACAAGGTCACATGACGCACGGCACCCAGTGAGTTACAGCAAAACATAGAATACTTAAAAAGGACATTCTGTTTCAGAACAAGAAAGGAGATAAAAGACATTGATGATCTGCGAGAAGACTGCAAAATACATAAAATGCAATTACTATTCTATAAATTACCGAGCCGCTTGCTAAAGCAATAACGTTCACCCAAAATCCAGCTCATTTATATGTAGAGAGAGAAATTCACTAAATGAATGACTCCAAGTGAATACCCTTCAAAAATGTTAGCGAGCTGCGGGTAAAGACGCGGGCCCTGCCAAGACACGAGGGCACAGACATGCTATTCCTTGGTTGTTATAGATATTCTTCATCGGGTCTCCTGGACAGTAAAATTCTGATGGCACTCGGCAAAGCTCTCGGATTGCTTGACCTCTGCAGACTGGATGTACGTCAGCGACAGGCGGTGCCACATCACAGAAAGAGCAAATATCGTAAATAGCTGACAGAGGGTGTATATCAAAAAAACTGTTTGCAGAAGCTGCAGATCTCTTGTCATCGTAATTTTACATACAGAACAAATGTATGAAATGACAGGCCATAAAGGGTGGCAGCGTTTCCCTAAATATCACTGGCCCAGTGTGTTTCAACAGTATTACAATGTCTTAAAGGAACACTCCAACCACCATAACCACTATAACACACTGCACTGCTTATGGTGTTAGTGTTTATGGCTTCTCCTCCCCCTCCAGTGTAAGTAGTCACATTCTGCTAACAGTTTAATAACTTATGCTGAGTTTAATCGGCTCTATCTTCCTGTTAGCCTGACCCTGTCCGTCGCCCCTATGGGTCCGTCATGCTTCTTCCTTTCCTATTGGTGAACGCTGTATCAAAGAGAGAGGCGTCAGGGTTTCCCATTTTATATCTCCCTTCTCACAGGGTTTTATCCATTAAAACTGAGATATACATGATTAAGGTCTCACGGCCGAAACATTATATTTTATTTAATTTTTGTCATTTTGAAAACCATAAATCTTTAAAGCTGCCCTCTGCATTGTGATGTCTGTGGATCTTTGTCCGACTGCCTATGAATAATGCAGTATTTCAATTACTAGCCGAGAGGTTTTAAATTGCTGAAACGATCTGTTTGAATGCTAGTTTTATTCTTCATAAAGTCCTGAAACAAAACGTAGTCCCCTCTCGTTTATTCCATATTTATTCCAGACGTGTAAATGCTACAAATGTTGTCAAATCTCACTAGCCAACAATCTAATGAACATCTGCTAATGGTTCCTTCGGGTTCAAGGACTTCCTGCGCAGGGGACGGGGGATAGCGATGGCTTCAGAATGAAAATATCTCGACTTGGCGCAAGGAAGAAATCCTCTGCCATTTACACTGTCACGGCTATTTAATCAACTGTGAATTGTTGGGAAGTCAGAAGGAACTCGACATTTTAAGAGACAATAATCAAACTGGAACAATTCTCAGGAAGCTATGTTTTCAACTCGACTATTTGGGGCTAGAATGTTAAATTCGCCTGGAGTAAACGTGAATTATTAGGACAGGTCCCAATTGTTAGTGTCTCTACCTGATGCCTTGCATTGTCTGGCACATTTTATAAATATTATAAAAATATTAATAAGAAAGTTAAAAACACCTAAACCAGGCACTGGTTTATCCACCTGAGATATGTGGCCAATTTCCCAGGATTCCTTCTTGTATTGTTAACTCTTTCATTAGCTTAGGGCTACACACCCCCATTGTCAGACTAATAAATATTTTGGCAATATCTAACTGTAGAAAACGTGTTCCAGTATAAACATGCCTATTTACCCAGAATATCAAAGACAAATCTGAAGTTGCACAGGATTCATTTAAAGGAGCACTCAAGTCACCCAGACCCCTTCATTAATAGTCATTTTAACCTTGCCATGTAAAACACTGACATTTCTACAAACTGTCCTGTTTATATTGCAGGTTTAAAGGGACACTACAGACAAGCAGACTGTCTGTTTAATCATGCAATATTTACATTACAGGGTTAACTCCACCGCTAGATGCGCTGTATGTACCTAACGGCGTTGTACTCACGGTTTGCATGAGAACTTGTAACATCTTCAATTTCTCCCTAGGAAAGCACTGACTTCATGGTAAGAGGAGACCTAGCCAGCCAGGGAGCCTCGGACCACCCCCGGGTTAGCCCCCCCATATTGAGAATTTTCACAAAATATTATTCCATTTGTTAGATTTTTGTTAAATAAGGTTAGATCAACTTTTTTTTTCGTTAGGTCTACTCTAAAATATGCAATATTAACAATCATTTTTAGGGGCTAACCTGTTGCCAACCCCCCTCAACAAAAATGTTTACAAAATGTTGTAGATTATGATAGCTCTGCGTTAGGAAGTTAATTTTAAATTGATTTTGGTACATATTCCATTGTGACACAGTAATCCTGTTTATTCTCTAAATAACTTGCAGTAAATGCCAGTGAATGTGTATGCATACCAGTGAGATCATGTGTGTCCGTAAACTTGTGTAATGAGCATGTGTCACTGTGTTTGTATCAGTAAACTTGTCTGTAGGTCAAAGTGGGCTTGTCAGTGTGAGCTTGGGTGTGTGTCAGTGTGAGATTGGTTGTGTGTCAATGTGAGCTTGGGTGTGTGTCAGTGTGAGCATGTCTATTGTGAGCTTGTCTGTTGGTCAGTTTGAGCTTGTCAGTGTAAGCTTGTGTGTAGTGTGCTTGTGTGTGAGTGCATAAGTGAAATTGGATGTAGTGAATTTGAGTGTAGTCAGCTTTTGTGTGTCAGAGATCTTGTGCGTATGAGCTTGCTTGTTTATGTGTGTTTGTGCCAGTAAGATTGTAGTGCCCGTGCTCCCTCCTCGAGCCCATACTGTCTATAAGTGAGAGAGAGAGTGTGTGATTAACTGTCTGCCTGTAACTGTGTCTGAGTGACTGCCTGTCTGTAACTGTAGTGTGTGTGTGTGTGACTGTGTGTGAATGTCTGCAATTGTAGTGTGTGTGAGACTACCTGTAATTGTGTAAGGCTGCCTGTAACTGTGTGTGTGTTTGTGTGACTGTCTGTAACTGTTTGACTGTGACTGTGTGTGAGTGACTATGTGCCTGGGACTGTGTGCATGTGGCTCTCTTTGACAGTATATGTGTATTACTGTGCATATGGCTGTGGGAAAAATACACATCTACATTCATACATGGGCCTACATATTTATTTTTTAATCTGAATCTAATAAATATCTACCAAAAACAATAAAAAAAGTCCAAATTTAACCCGTAGTCACGCCCACAAAGTTAAGTAGTGAATACCGCCTCTTGCGTGATAGATCTAACGAATAAAACAGTTAATCAAACCTGATCTAACAAATATCTACCAAAATCAGTAACATTTTGTCCAAATTTCAGTTGAGGGGGGCCAACCCCCCCTAATTATATATGCAATATCTCAGTAATTAGACTAGAGCTAACAGGCTTTTACCTGATACAACCTGAACTAACGCAGAGCATAATCGACAACATTTTGTACAAATTTTTGTTGAGGGGCGGCTGGCTACTAACAAATGGAATAATCTTTTAATATTGTGAGTGCTAACGCGGGGGTGGTGAGCCTTGGCACTGGGAAAAGGTAAGTAAAAAAAGGTTGCATTCCTAGCGCTATAGTGTTGCTTTAAATCCACCTCTAGTGGCTGCTTATCGGACTAGAGGGACTTCCTCTGCACTGACCAAATAAAGGCACATGACACGAGAGCATTGAATACAATTCTTTCCTATGGGGAAGCTTGGATTGGACCATCACCAGAGATGACGATGCGGGAGAAGAGATGAGCTTCGGCTCTGGAAAAAATGAAGTAAAATTTCCATTTATTTCTTTTTATTGCAGACGGGGGATGGGAGGAGTAGTATATAATGAGGGAGAGGCACTGTATAGCTAGACAAGTTTTACAAGTTTGTTTTCCTAATGGTATGGTATTTCTTTAATCCGTTTGCAAGCGACATAATTACAATTAAAGAGAATGATTTAACATACAAGAGGCAGAGTTCTAAATAGCAAACTAAGGTCAGAGGCTCGGAGCTGCCCTTATATTAATAATATAATCCTAACTGCCTCTTACCTAGCGACAGTGCCATTGGAATACCAGGCACACTATTTATAACATGGGTCGAATGCAGATTTTACCATTAACACGTGTGTAGATATAGACAGAGGTGAAATAGGTTTTTAAAGTTTAATGAAAAATAACCATCAGCAGAGCCTCAGTTTTTTTTTATCCTCACACACTATAAGTAGAAAGTCCTGGAGCTGAGTGCTGTCATTTTTTTATCTATGGGAACATGTTGGTTTGTGAAATCTTTCCATTTTAGGGGCTGTTTCTGTGCTGCGGGGATAATTATAATGTATGATGTCCCAGGCTTGCTGCCAGAAACCAATAGAATGTGGCAATTTCAGAAGAATAAAACACGGCGCTTCCTGTTTGCACACGGCGCAAAATCACGCCATTGGATTAATAAGAACAGACGAAAATAGACAGACATTTTACATGCCGGAGACGTGATACACTACATAGGGGGTGGAGGGGGATATGAAATTCCTTACTGTAACTGGGATGGCCCCACGTGTGCCAGAGCCGGCAGTGAGCCCAGAACTGGACACATTGAAATGGATATTTTATATTTACAGTCCAGTTAAAATATTACTGAGGGCAAAATAAATGCTGATTTCTTATTACAGAAAGATTGCCATGTCTTACCGGGACTGCCAGTACAGGACGGGGTCATGTCTTCGATGTCTGTCAGTGAGGGCCATATAACACATAGCTCCCAATATTTTACATAGACCAAGGGGGACACTTTAATTATAGGGGTGTAAGCGGGGAGCTTGGGGGTGAAAAGGGGTGGGGCTGTTCTGGCTTACTAATAACTTATCTAACTAAAATTTTATTTAGAAGAACAATGTCTCTTATTAACTGAGACTGATTTCTAAACACATTTATTTTGTTTAAAGACACATTACTGGGAGTATTATTGCTGTGGCGCTCTGTTATACATTACTGAGAGTATTACTGCTGTGGAGCTCTGTTATACAATCAGACACATTACTGGGAGTATTATTGCTGTGGAGCTCTGTTATACACTCAGACACATTACTGGGAGTATTATTACTGTGGCGCTCTGTTATACATTACTGAGAGTATTACTGCTGTGGAGCTCTGTTATACAATCAGACACATTACTGGGAGTATTATTGCTGTGGAGCTCTGTTATACACTCAGGCACATTACTGGGAGTATTATTACTGTGGAGCTCTGTTATACACTCAGACACATTACTGGGAGTATTATTACTGTGGAGCTCTGTTATACATTCAGACACATTACTGGGAGTATTATTGCTGTGGAGCTCTTAGAAAAGTGGAACATTAGGATTTGGGCCCAAAATCCTAAATAAGGACACTTAGCACATACGATAATGTCAGTCATTAGGGCCCATATAATGTGTCCGATAACAGGGCTGTGCAGTGAGTCTGACAGTGGGGCCTGTGTAGGGTCGGACAGTGAAGATAATCAGTCGCCATTATAATTCCATCCCCGCTTAGGGCAGCTGTGATCAGATTTTAATGTCACCAATTGCTAATCCAGTCAGCGTATTGAGCTGATCTGTCCCTTTTATTCCAATTCTTGTCAGCTCGAATATTTCATCCCATCATGGAAAATAAACATCATTTATCATCGTTTTAAGCATTAGCTGGTGACAGACGCTGCCCTCTTTTGCATAAATGTGTATTAATGGCTGGCTGTGTCGCAGACATTGCCGCGTCTGCAGGATGATTAAACCGTGTCACCGTTGCTTTTAGGGGTGCCTTATCACGGACCGTAATCAAAGACATAAAGAAAAATAAGGGAAAGCAATTTATTGTGTCTACGCTCTGCCTGATTATAACGCAGACAGTGAAGGAATGCACAGAATGAAAGGGACAAAACCTTTCGGGATCACTAAACATTGAATTGTGCAGAACTGGAACGTGAACCGGCTAAAACGCAACAAAAAATACCCACATTCCACCTTGTCCCGGCTCAGCTAGACGGGGTTCGTTGTTTAATAAATACATTCTGTTAGAATATAACTCCCCTAGCGGAACTGAGCAGTGCATTGTGGGGAATTGTAACATCTACACTATTGTGACAGACATACTGGAATTCCCTTGCAGTCATTGGGATTATGATTACTCCCAGTAACCCCCCATGTAGCAACAAAACACGGCAATTACCATTTAAGAGTCTCTTTACTAAAAAAAATGAAAATTATTCCGACTGAGCTTCTCAGTGTTTTATATATCTATAATGGCGGCCTTTATTTCCAACATGGCTGAAAATTCACTGTCCTTTCCTGGTAACCCCAGGGTCAATATTTAACCCCTGGCTATCCAGAGCAATGTGTTCACCTCCAATGCTGGTTTAATACGATGAGTATTACAGCAAATTGTCAGAGAAAGGGTTAAAGTCCCATTGTACAGCGCTACGGAGTCTGATGGCGCTATATAAATAATAAAATAATAATAATAAAGTCAGCCTCCTAGTCTGCAGGCCTAATAAAGACTTGAAATCGGCTTGCCAGTTAATAAACCTGTATCCTTCATTATCATTAGCCATAATAATACTTTGTTAGCCTTAATTGGCTAAAACAGGGAACAGATTGCAGATGTTTAAAAACAGATGTTAATATTTAATGATCACAGGATCATGAATATGCATTATTATTATTACACTGATTACAATATGTACCTGGTATAGGAGGCTCTATTAATGGAATACAGTTAATCAGGACATTTAAAGTTTCAGAGCCGCTCTATGGTTAACACATTGAGTAAACTCTGTCCTTATGTGGGGTGCAGAGTATACTGAACCCCAGATTCTGAGTAAAGGAAATGCGGAATATCCCAGCACCGAAAAAGAGGATGCTATACATGTTTACTATATGTAAACTTTAACCCGTGATCAGAGTCTTGGAATGGAATAAACAATGATGTAGCGGTCACAGATTAAAGGCCAGAGCGTCCTAAAAGGTACTTCATTTTTAAATTCTTTATTTTTGTTCACATCGCACATGTACATAGTTTAGATTGCATTACAGTGCCATAAGCAGTTGGAACAGAGTTTAAGCAGGTTATAGATTATAATGGCAACCATTAGTGCATAGCCACCTAACATCAGGTTGACATATGCGACATGGGTTTTTTATGTGTAAGAATTATTAACGGTCAACTTGAAAAAAAGAGATAAAAATACCTATAAAAGAAAAATAAACATTACATCCTCTGCGTTTAGGGCGCTATATGTTGTCGGGTTGCATCATGAGGATTTATGTTGCGCTATGTGTGAGCCATGCGCTTAATCAGAGGTTGGTTCAAGCGTAGCATTTGTGGCATTAATAGGGGTAAGCGTGTGTGGGGGGGAGGGGGGTACTTTTGGTGGTGCTATGGCTTAGCAAGTTTGCCTACGGAGCCAGAGAAATAATAACAGAATTTAGTAACATATAAAACTTCAAGAATAAGAAATTCTATGACTGTCAATTATGACATAAAGGAAACAAATAGTTCAGACAATGTCAAGCTGGAGGGTCCGCCGACCCCGCCAGTGCATGTCTCAGGACAAATGGAGGGATTTCTTCTACTGCCCGTGTTCTTCTGTCCCGTGTTGATAGGGTTTCCGCTGTGACTCCCAGTGCTTGGAGGAAGGCAGGTGCATCTTGGAGTTGCGAGAGTGGGAACTTCTTGCGGTTTTTCTCTGCCACTAGGTGGTGTGGGCCCCATCTGTACGGGATTTCAGCCTCTCTCAGAAGCTTTTAGTGGAGCGGAGTGATTGCCTCCATTGCATGGTTGCTCTTGAAAGGTCCTTGTAGAAGGACAGCTGCGAGCTCTCAAAAGACAGTGAGGGAGATACTCTCGTGGTTCCCAGGACTGCGGACTTGTCAGAGACCCTTTGAAATTGCAAAAGCACGTCCCTAGGGGCCTCTGGGGGTGCCTTGGGCAATCGATGGCATCTGTCAATTGCAGCTTGCTTGGCTTGCTTAGGTGTTAGCAGTGTTGCTAGCAATCGCCTTATGTAGTGAGGCAGTTCATCTGGTGAGATGGATTCAGGTATTCCTCGTATCCTTATATTGTGGGCTTTAGCCCTGTCTTCCAGACTAGCCAGTCGCTGGCTCATTTCGGGTATGGAGCGCAGCGTCTGTGGCTGATTGTGCCAAATATGTACCTCCCAGCTCCCCTTCCACTGCCTGGACACGGCCTGTCAGCTTGGTGACGTCGTCTCTTACCACTTCTATGTCAGCTTGGAACAGGGGAAGTCCTGCCTTAAGGTCCTGCAATAAGGCTTTAATATCTGCCTTAGTCGAGAGAACAGCATCCTCGAGTCCCACATACCGTGATTGTGTGATCATCGTGGCTGGTATTGTGGCAGGGAAATCATCCTCTGGTGTGCTCTCAGCTTCCGACGAAGCCGTGGAGTAGGACGCCGTCGGCGCCATCTTGGGCTGCACGGGGTGCTGTGACTGTCTGAATATATCTCGGCAGCCGATTCCATGATCCGCTCGCTGCTTTTTGGAGTGGCACACCATGCTCCCTGGACCAAGTGGAGCTCGGCTTTGTATGTGCCCAGTGGGTCAGTATATTTGCCGTTTAATCAGCCGGCGGCTCGGAGCTTGCTGAGGATGCGACCGTCTCGCATGGGCGCTGACTCCGCCCCCCCTAAAAGGTACTTAATGAGTAAAATCAAGGAAATCCCGGGATGGGGCAAGGATGTTTGGCTACTCAGGTGAAGATGCATTTTACATGCATGTATGGGAGAGACAGGGCTTTAATTTGTCAGCATAAAGGGGTGGGGGAGCAATTTAGTGTTGGTTTTACCATTAATTTTAATTAATTAAATACCAAAAAGTTTTACATTCCTTTAGCCTGGAAACAGCAATATTGATCGCTGGTGGCCTAGCGGTCTCTGCCAGTGCACCATCGCCAGGTGCAGACCTGAAGTTCTCTGAGCCCTCAGCCAGCACTCCGGGCCAGTAAGGGAGATCTGTGGTGAGACAGAACTCCCTCTCTAAGGGACACCTTCGAATGGCACAAACCAACTTCCAGGCAATAACATTATACATTTTACAAATCCTAAATTATATTTAATACTATAGGTAGAGTTGTGCCAGGGCACAGTCAGTGGTAAGTTTGTTTATCCAGGGCATAGTCAGTGGTAGGTTGGTTTATCCAGGGCACAGTCAGTGGTAGGTTGGTTTATCCAGGGCATAGTCAGTGGTAGGTTGGTTTATCCAGGGCACAGTCAGTGGTAGGTTGGTTTATCCAGGGTACAGTTAGTGGTAGGTTGGTTTATCCAGGGCACAGTTAGTGGTAGGTTGGTTTATCCAGAGCACAGTCAGTGGTAGGTTGTTTTATCCAGGGCAGTCAGTGGTAAGTTCGTTTATCCAGGGCACAGTCAGTGGTAGGTTGTTTTATCCAGGGCACAGTCAGTGGTAGGTTGGTTTATCCAGGGCACAGTCAGTGGTAGGTTGTTTTATCCAGGGCAGTCAGTGGTAGGTTGGTTTATCCAGGGAACACTCAGTTATTCAGACGTGTCACTGTGGTAGAGGGGTATGTTAATTTTAAGCTCTAGGAAATCAGGCTGCAAGCCAGTGGTTCAAGAAGCGATCAAGTCGTGGCATCTGTTATGTGAATGCAATGCGACCTTGGTGTAGGATTTAACAAGTGTCTGTCCTATAAATGTGTCCAGAGATTGAACGCTGTCACTAGGGAATATGATAACATTACACGGGACACCCCCAAGGTTGTAAAATTTTCCAGGTTTTTTTAACTAGTGAGAAAGAATCAGGAAAACACTGTGATACAGTATGGGTGTCTGCAGGTGCAGTGCTGTGTGTTTAGGAAAATAGCTCAACGCATGCTCTAAAGTACGAATGAATAAACTTACAATTGTGTGAGGGGAAAATAAGGCCGGAGGGGAAATAAGTCGGTTGAGGTGTGCCGGAACCGACGTTGTGGTAGGCCTGTAATAAAAGAGGGCCCACCCATGAAGTGTAATGAAAGTAGAGATAGAGGGAGTGGAGGGTGGGGACATGCGAGTCGCTAAAAAACGTAAGGAACTGAGGAAGGTGAGTAGGGGGGTTTAAATAGGTACCATGCCCCTCCCACAACTGCAGGCCAAACCTTAACATTTGTGTGAGGGGCAAATAAGGCCGTAGGGGAAATAAGTCGGTTGAGGTGTGCCGGAACTGACGTTGTGGTAGGCCTGTAATAAAAGAGGGCAAAAATTGGGTACCTATCAGAAACAAAAAACAATCAACAAAACCTAATTGCCTAGCTGTATGGTAAATGCGTAGCGGGGAAATAGTTGCCCAGCACTTGAACCGGCACTCTTAATTGTGCCAGGGGAAGTAAGATATATTAAATGCGTTGGCCCCCTAGGGTAGACTAAATGTGGGGGTAGAGAGGGTAATCAGTAGGCTGCATGAATAGGTGAGACTTCCTAAGATAATGCTGCAAAAAGGACGTGGTGGCTGTGGGAAAGTATGTGGGACCCAAGAAACTGTGGAAGCAAGAATAGTGGCTCAACAACTAGATACAAAGTTAAAGTGACTTGTGCCCATCAAGTACAGCCTTCCTCACATTTGTGTTAAACGGTTGATCCAAAAGAAGGCGAAAAACCCAGTTTGAAGTGCTGCCAAATTGCAACAAGCTGGGAAAAAATTCCTTCTTGACCCCATAATGGCAGTCAGATTATCCTTGGATCAAGCAGTTATTGCCCTACATGTAAAGGTTGGTGCTTGGTTCATAAGGACAGACAACTAATAGGTCTGATAGTGATTGAAAAAAAATGGATGCAGATGGGAATTCTGTAAGATGTGAAAATTGACCCGGGTACCGGAAATGGCTTGTGTAAGGTACTAATCTGGTATGCGGACATGGAAACTGCGTATGAATGGTAAACCCGTGCAGCATGTGAAGTTGTAATGCGGATAGGTAGAGTTGATGTAAGTTAGAGGTGGCAAAAAGCGAAAAACCAACCGCGGACAACAAATCAAAAGAGACAGCAACAGAAAAGGCCCTCAAGGAGAAGAAGGCCCTAACACGTACCGCAAGCGCCAGTAGAAAGAGCCAGACGTGAAAGATGACGACCACGAGCCAACAAGGCTCGCAGTCCGCGAGCGGAACGCGAAACGCAGGGAACAGCAGCAGCTACAGGAGAGGCCGCGGGCAGAGCCATGCGGAAGGCGTAGAGGAGGCCTAGGAGAGATCGCATGAAAAAGATGCAGGAAGACCGGCTCGGAACCAGCCAGAGCGGCAGACGCCAGGTACCCAAGTTGCCATCTGAAACCGCCCCATAGACAACAGCAGCGGAGAAGAGCGAAATCGGGGCCCCCTCCAGCAACAGCGCAACCCATGGAGGTGGACAGATGCTGAGAGTTCGGCTGTCTGAAAGGCTGCTGGGGAGGGAAAAAGGTGGACTTGCAAGAACTGCAGCGAAGCGAGGAAGAGACCAGGACATGAAAAGAAGGTAGGAGTAGCCGAAACTCCACAGCGTGAAAAGACAAAGAAACAGAGCATAAGCGACCCAATGTGTGTGAGTGAGTGTGCGCGCGTGTGCTGGCATACTAGCTAATGCCAAAAGGCGAAACAATTAAAAACTAGGTTTGGTGACAGGTGAGGCCCTGATTCCAAGCGGCATGAGAGGCTCTATCTATGAGTTGGCGCGAGGAGATAACATGGCCACTGAAACTTTGTGGCAGGGTGTTGGCCTCTCGGTGACAGTTAAACATAAGATAGAAAGGGAGTGACAGGTGAGGCCCTCTCTATGCTACAATGCGAGGCGACTAACTATGATTTGGCCTGAGGGGCGCAGTACCTCCGGGTATGAGGATGGGTGTCGGCCTCGCGGGACCACTAACGTAAGGCGAAGAAGCCAGGGGGGGAATTACCAACTAGTGGACACCTAGGACCCTGACAGCCAGCCACAGCTAACTAAGAGGGGAGAAAAGGTAGCGTAAGGGAGGACGGAATTGGTGAATGCGTATGGAAAATGTGAGGTGAATGAGGGAGTACCGCAGGGCCAACCGTAACTGAGGTGCAGAGGAAGCACAACAGAGACCAGGTGGTCTGGCCGTATGGAGCATGACCGGCAACAGGTAATAGAAATACGAGTTGACGCAAAGCCCACGGGACCCAGTGCGAGCATGTGTGAGTTCGAGCGTGCGCATGTGTGCTGGCATACTATCTAAAGCCAACAGGCAAAACAATTAAGACTAGGTTCGGTGACAGGTGAGGCCCTGCTAGATGCCAAGCGGCGTGAGAGGCTCTATGAGTTGGCGCGAGGGGATAACGTTGCCACTGAACGTTGTTGCAGGGTGTTGGTCTCTCGGTGACAGTTAAACATAAGATAGAATGGGAGTGACAGGTGAGGCCCTCTCTATGCCACAATGCGAGGCGACTAACTATGATTTGGCCCGAGGGCGTAGTACCTCCGAGTATGAGGATGGGTGTTGGCCTCATGGGACCACTAATCTAAGGCGAAGAAGCCAGAGGGAATTACAACTAGTGGACACCTACGACCCTGACAGCCAGCCACAGCTAACTCAGGATGTATCGTGCGACGAAAAACGGGTTTGCCATAAGCAAATATGAAAGTGTCAAATCTGGTTGTGGTTGATTAGTGAACATCCGCAATAGACCATAACAATTATCAAGCCGGAAATCGCGAGTAGTAAAATTCCGAGATCGTGGAAATCAAAGCGAAGTTACGTAACTGGTAAATCACTCCATGTCATAAACGGATTTACCAGCCTAAAGCGTAGAGATTTGGATTGCAATCCACACCAATTTAGTGAAACGAACCCCCACGTGTCAGAGCATGGAAAGCATGTAAGGATGCAAAAGTATACTGTTATAGGAGGCATACAGCATTATGCAGAGGCAACAGAAGTGCATGCCGTTGTGGTTCCCCCACCCGAGTACCCCCCGACCAAAGTCTACGATCTCCCAGCACCATGGATTATATATGCACTACTGGAGGGATGTATAAATTACACTCTCTATGTTGTTAAAAACTGAGCAATCATTAAGGGACTTGCTCACTACCATAGGCACAGCCGACGAGGTTTCTCTTTTTTTTTTTTTGTTTATGGTTGCTATGACGACGGCTGCAGCATTGTGCGAGCCGCCGTCTATACTTCCGGTTTCCTTTGAGTGACGGCGGCAGCAGCTCTCGTGCGTGCCGCCGTCCACTATAAC